TTTTTAATGCATGAATCTATTTCTAAACCATGACCAAAATGTTTTATGCTCCCTAAGGCTAAGAAGCATATTAAGACTCAAATGATATCGTCTAATATACATAAACGCTAAAATATCCTAGTTTTGACATTATAAAAAACACATATAATGAAAAAGTTGCACTCACACTTGACACTCGGTAGACTTGCCTTCTGGTTTCAAACCAATTAATTATGAATGAGTTTTGAAAAAGAACTAAAACCTAATGGAACAGTTGTAATTACAAGGCTCACCTTGTAGCCAAAGGTTTTAGGCAAAGAGAAAATATAGATTTCTTCAATTCATTTTCTCCACTCACTTGAATTACATCTATTAGGGTACTTACTTAAATGGATGCTATTTATAACTTAATAGTACACAAAATGGACGTTAGACAACTTTTTTAAATAGTGACTTAGAAGAAGAAATCTATATGGATCAACCGGAAGGGTTTGTAATTCCTTGGTAAGAAAACAAGGTCTGTAAGTTTGATAAATCTCTCTATGGCCTAAAATAAGCTCCAAAATAATCACATGAAAAGTTTGATAACTTAATGATATCAAATGGGTACAAAGTGAACAAAAGTGACAAATGTGTTTATTGCAAATATGAGAATCGTATTTGCACTATCATATGTCTCTATGTAGACGATCTAATCATATTTGGATCAAGCGTTCAGATTGTTAATGATGTGAAATCATTGTTAAGCAATAAATTTGATATGAAAGACCTCGGAGAAGCAAGTGTGATTCTTGGTATCAAAATCAAGAGATTTGAGCAGGGAATTTCTTTGGATCAATCAGATTATGTGAAAAAGATCTTAAATAAATATTATTACTTTGACTATAAACTTGCGAGCAAACCATACGATCCAAGCGTGAAACTGTTTAAAAACATTGGTGAAAGTGTCAGACGAATGGAGTATGCGAGCATTCAAAGTCTACAGTTTTAACATTCACTTTGAATGTTCTATTCTTCCCTTATTCAGACTTCATAATCAGCTTCTGATTATAGTCATATAACTTCAAAAGATTGTCCTTCATGGTAACTAAAAAACCTTTCTCAATTAATTGAACTACACTCATCATATTGTTTTTCATACCAGGTACATATCACACATTCTGAATCAATGTTGCTTTACCATTATTCAAAACTACTAAGATATTTCCCATACCTTCAGCGTTGAGGTATTTATCATCAACACATCCGATCTTTGTCGTCTTTCTAGAGTCAAAGTCAATCATTCATTTCTTATTTTCAGTAAGATGACTTGAGCAGCTAGTGCCCATATACCACCAGTCTGTCAAATACGCATCATCAAATTCATAAGTCATTAATAGCACAGATTCATCATCTGAATATCTTCTGGCTACATTTTCTTCTTCTGACTTTTTTTACTTGTTTGACCAACAGTCAGCAGCGAAGTGGCCAAACTTTTTACAATAGTAACACTGAACCTTTCTCTTGTCATATTTCTCATTCTCCTTCAGAGCATTCTTCTGCCTTCCAGAAGTTGAGATTTTTGACTTCAGAGACCTACCATATCTTTTCTTGGCCTCTGACCAACACTGCTTTTGGTCCTTTTTGACAAAAGAAGCTTTCATAGCTCTCTCTCTCTCTCTCTCTCTCTCTCTCTCTCTCTCTCTCTCTCTCTCTCTATATATATATATATATATATATATATATATATATATATATATATATATATATATATATATATATATATATATATATATATATATATATATATATATATATATATATATATATATATATATATATATATATATATATATATATATATATATATATATATATATATATATATATATATATATATATATATATATATATATATATATATATATATATATATATATATATATATATATATATATATATATATATATATATATATATATATATATATATATTCATCTCTTTCTCTCAGAGGTTCTTTCAGTCAGACCCAACTCTTGTGCCTCTAGACTGCTTTGCAGCTCTTCTATTTTCATGGTGCTCAGCTCCTTAGAATGTTCAATTGCTACAACAATGTAATCAAACTGAGATTAAGAGATCTAAGTATCTTCTCAATGATCTTTTCTTTAGTGAGAGTTTCTCCACACGATCTCATCTTATTTGTGATCAAAATCACTCTAGAGATATAGTCAAGTACCTTTTCATTATTCTTTATGCTAAGATTCTCATACTACTTATGTAGAGATTGAAGCTTCACCCTCTTTATTGATGCATCACCGTTGTAGCACCATACTTGTGTGTCCCACGCAGTCTTCGTCGTCGACATATCATCGATCTTCACAAACACATTTGCATCCACAGACTGATGGCTGTAGAAAAACGCCTTCTAATCCTTCTTCCTTAAATCACGCTAAACATTCCTTTGTACATCTGTTGCATTTTCTGGAAGTACAATTGAAACATAATCGTCATTGACGAGATCAAGAACATCTTGAGCACCAAACAACACACGTATCTAAATCATCCTACGATTCTAGTACTTGCTATCGAACACTAGAATCTTGGTACTTAGATTACTATTTTTGTTCATCTGTGACCTTGTGTAGTTCACTCAAATCTCACCAAATACTAGTGTTTCTCAATCCCGCAGAATCGAGAAATGTGATTATATTATGATTCCGTTCAAAAGTTCACCATGAATTCAAAAAACAAAATCAATCACGTAACGCCTCACCGTTCACTTGTGTTTCCCCGTGTTTCCTTGTGAATCTGAACCGAAGATCTAAATATCTTTGTTAGTGCACAAGGTGAAAAAGATGAAGATGGAAGAAGAAAGTGAAGAGAATAACAAACTTTCACTACTCTGTTAAAACGATTACAACAAAATGGTTGCACACACACTGCACTACGATACTCAGTTGATATAATTGTTGACAACTATAGGACGATATTGTTAGCTCCTAAATTCGACGCCTCGTGCAAAAGAAAGGAATTCAAGATGAAAATGCCAAGAACAAGTTGAGAATGAAAGTTGGTCGAGAGGTGTAAGACAGCTAAAAGAGGGAGTCGAAGAATTCACCCAGAAGCTAGGAGTTCGACCGCTTGCTGTTGTGGATGGTTCGTCGAAAGGTTTAAAATTTGAAAGTTTTGGAGGGAACGATTTTGTTTGCCAAATACTTAAGAAGACACATGACACCTTATGAGCAGTAGATCCATGCATTGTGACAAGTGGCGAGAGGAGGTGACGTTGGAGGTTATTAGAAGTTATTTTTTTACTACTATAAATAGGATGCCTTAGACATAAGCAAAGTGTGTTGTAATTTACCATTGTACAAATTACTCTTAGAATTACTCCAAGTATCCGAGCGTAGAGAAAGCGAGTATTATAGAGAATGTATGTGATGTAAACACACCATCTTCTATCTTAATGAAATTTACTTTACTTGTTTTAAATTTTACAAAATCTTTTATTGTCTTTGCAATTTCTTCCTTACTTTCTTTCTTTTTCCTCTTTTTCCTATGCAATTCCTTTCTCTTCGCCCTTAACCCAATTTCTCCTCTCCAAACAAACTTCTTTCTTTCTTTTATTGAAAGTTTTATTTTATCTTTCAAGTCATTCAGTAGTCGAATAAATGTTTCTTTAGATTCTTTTGCCCCAATACTGTTTAAGTGTGAAACTTAGATAGATTTCCAAAACAAAAGCCTTTAACACATGTCCTAGGATCAATCTGATCGATCCTGTGAGTCACCAAAGTTAGATTTAAAAGATCAGCGGTTGTTTTCCGATTTTCAAGGGAAACAGATATATACACAAACAAAAGTGTTGTGTAGGCTAAATGTTAAAATACTTAATCACCTTTCAACAAAATTAATTAATAGTAAGAAAGTAAGTTTCTTATTGATATGTACTAAATTGGTTATTTGTGTGGTCAAAGAGAGAGAGAAACAATTGCAGAGATAAATTTAGTCCACTCACTTCATATGGTAGTAGTAAAGAGAGAGAAAATATGTTGTATCAATAAAACAATTCTTTGAAATATTTAATTAATTTTTTAGGTATAAATAAATAGGAGTAGTATATCTTTTAGTGTAAATATAACATTTATGTTCATTTTATACCAATTAATGAGGGTTTTAGGGTTTTCTTACCACCCTCAGAGGAAAATAGGGCCACACATTTGTTAGCCTGAGATGCCTTGATGGACAATGATAAGTATTTGATTTAAGAGCAACTTTAACGCATAGTTGTTAAACCAAAATTTTGTATAGCTTACGTTAGTAATAAGAAATTTGCATTATAGTAGAGCTGACATGACATATGGGATGCTCTAAAACTAGTTTACCTGCTATACACAAGCAACGTACTCTAACTCATTATTTAACATAAATAATATATTTTTATTAACCATTTAATACCAAGTTTGAATTCCTTATAAACAATCACCATTGAAGTAAAAACTTCTTAATTCAATTTTGAATTACTTAAATCCTTTGTGTCAATTTGGACCCACGTAAAATAACTTAGTTCATCCAATTTAGTTGCTCCCATTAAAGATGCTCTAAGACACACTTATAGCTTTTTTCAAACTTCATTAGATATGGTCCATGTTAATTTTGTTCCAAAAATAAATATTAACAATGAACTAAAAAATTGAATTTCAGCATTTATCCTACTTTTATAGTAACTGTGTCATGTAAAAGAGTGCAAGAGTACTGTCACATATTGAAATACTTCTCATTTGCTTATATTGTTGATGTAGATTTGATATGCAAATACATAAGATTCTGTAAACTCATTCAGTAGTACTTCCTCCCAACTATATTATTACAAGAATTAACTCTATAATATAGCAATATAAATACTCAACGGAATGGACGAAGGTAATATTAATTTTCTTGTATCTGAAGTCTCTGCACGACTATCAACTGAGCTGTCTTAATATCAACTGAGCTGTCTGAACAGGATAGGATAGGTAACATACATTTTGATTTGCACTATTGCATTAGATGTGCTTGTTGGGATATCGAACACTAAGCAATTTCACATCATCTATAACAGGTCCACAAAGAGAACCAGAGTTATCATTCTTCATGGTATAAAATGTACTTAGGAACCTAATCCTAGTACGTGTCGTGGTTGCGGTAAATCGAAGTTTGCCTAGTTTAAAACCTCCTTTACCCTTAGATTGATATGGAACTTGAACTGTATCTCTACCTGCAAATGCTTCTACTGTCATGGAACCTTCACATGCATTATTGGCATCACCAACAGCAAAAGTGAGGACATAAACTTTTCCAATTGTGGTCATCACTACTTGTGCAAGTGCACTTTCTTTTCCTGCAACTAGTTCGATTCCTCTTTTTCCCTCAGGGACTGAGAAATGATCTGAATCAATGTATTTTACTGCTTTGAGAGACTCAACTATCCATCCTGGTAATGGACCATGAGCATCCTCAATGTGAGGTGGAATCAATACTCCCCAAGAAGCATTTGGGAACACATAAGGTCCTTCTTCAAAGTTTCCATTTTTCAACAAATTTGCTACATAAACAACCAAATATAATGATTAAACTCCAATCCCAATTAATTTGATGGAGTACAAAACTATTTAGTATAGATGACATCAGAGGTGACTTTAAGGACGTGTAAGACAGACTAGCGTACTGCGTACACGGTCTTAAATTTGTCAGAAGAACATAAGATATTTGTCAAAGTTAAATCATAAAAAAGGGACTCCAAATTGTTTTGCCACCGTTAAACCGAAGTTAATCTATGTAAGGCCTCTGAAAATTTAAGACATTTTTGCGGTCATGGTTTTAAATTGCGGTTGCAACCGAAATAGCAGATGCAATAATGCTGATGCGATAGTCTTTGCAACCGCATCAAACCACATTTGCGACGTGATTTAAAATCTCTAGGAACCATGATACATCTATTTTGTGTAGAGAACAGAATTTACCTCTGGTTCTTTGTGGTGGATTCAAAACCTTCAAAGCAACAGAATCAATAAGAGGACCACAAGCAGGATCTTCTTCAACACCAGAATTATGTATCACAATTTCACCTTCTGGATAATCAGCTCTAAACCCACAGGCAAACGATTCCCAACCGTTACTACCATACATAGTTTGAATAGGAATTATCCCATAATCACTTTTCTCATTAGTTGGAACCACAGACACATTAAGTTTCTCTTCTTGTGCACATGTACGTGCTGCACTAAAAGTGATTGAGTAAGTTGCACCTTTATTAAGCTTCACTTTTTGCTTAATGTACGCTTCATTACCAAGCCTAACAGCATAAGCACCTTCTGGTACAACCAAAAGCATGTCACCTTGTTTTTGTCCTGATTTTATGTATTCTACGAAACCTGAAATTGTCCAATTTGGAATACCGTCGTGGGTTGTTACTACCGTGCCCTTGATTTGTGAGGCTTTTGGTCCTACTTCAAAGTCACCATTGGGTAATAAGCCTGAAATTTACAATCACATTCATTGGTTTGTTACTGTTTACTTTTTAATAAAAAACGAGACTCAGATCTCTTAAACCAGTTCAGTTGATAACTGTGCAGAGACATCAGAATCAGACTAGACTGTATGGACGCAGATTCAAATCCATGACATTAGAAAGAAAGAATTATGAATATTGTGGGGTCAATGTTTTGGTAATAATGACAGGTATCATTTTCATGAGCACTTTTTGGTCTTGTTCCATGTGATAAGGAACACGTTAGTGCAGGCTGTGAGCACATGAAAAACTTTGTAGAGCATGTGGCGTAAGATCCGACGAAAGGGATGTTGCAGATCCAAGATTATGCAGAGCAAAACAACTACCATACCATTTCATATGGTGGTTGTTGATTCACATGCAAACTTCAAAATCATTCTTAATATAGTAATGTTTTTTACTTTTTTATTTAAATTTAGGCAATAATTTGTAGTATTATAGAGAAGACAATATCATTATGCTACAAATTCTCAACTAAAATTCATTCTCACATGAAATTGAGATTTTAATTTTAAGTTTGATCTAACACTGCAAAATCGATTTGGAAGGTAAATCAATAGACTTTAATGTCAATTTTGAAATTGACTTGAAAGTGAATTAATATAGACACTAATACCATTTTTAAATTGACTTGAAAGGTGAATTAATAGACTCTAATATTATTTTTAGAAAAAAATTTGAAAACGAATTTAAATTCCTATTCTTAGAAACAACTGATAAGAATGAAAAAATTTTAAATTTATTTAAAATTATTTTTTTTTTAATTAGAATCATGGTTGTGATAATAAAGAAGAAAGAATATCTAAGTTTGTGTCAAAGCATGTGGTTGTAATAAAAAGTTTGATAAAAAACTTATATGAATTAAAAGCTTTCAATTCAAGTTTGATATTATCAATTCCAAAATAAAAATCAATTCTACTTTATGACACACAAACATGTAGAAATACATTAAAAAATGGCTAGTACAAGGAAATATAATAGAGAGTATTCATATACCATATTCTCTTTTTGTGAGGGATTCATTTGAAATAATAAGTATTTTAAAATAAATAATTTATTTTAATTTCTAATGTATTTTTTTTCCAATTCTACTATTTAATTAATATTATTTTTATCACTCCTAATATTTATTTAATATTCTCTCAATTCTTTTTTAAGTGTTATTTTTAAAATTTTCTTTTTCTTTTTAATTGTCACTTACAATGTTTAAGATAATATTAATTGCTCTTTTGTAAAAAATATTGCTAAATATTTATTGTATATTTAAGAAAATAAAATGAATGTAATAAATAATAAAGAGTATTATAGCTAAAGGGAACATTATTATTTGAAAAATAACAATAATAATTAACTTTTTTGATGCGTAAAAAGTAAAAAAGATAATACTTAAAAAGGAATAGATGTACTAAAAGATACTTTAGTAAAAATATCATTATCTCTTTTATTTATTTATTTTTGTCGGTGTGAAATGATCAAAAATTAATCATTGTGATATGAAGGGAGTAATTAATAACCGAAACATATTAAAAATTTTGTATTTGTTTTTATCTTAATTCTCCTACTACCAGAAAAACATATGGGTCATGCTAACAAGTACCCTCAGGGCACTAGTTAAGAATTTTAAATAAGGAAAATATGTTATATTTAATTCACTCAATACACACAATATTTTTTAAAAAGTCTGATTATTTCTCTTTTCAGGGTATTGAATGCATATATTTAGAAAAAAAAATTGTATTTTCAATCTCTTAAATAATGCTCAACTTACCATTTTAATCTCTTAACTAATACCCTGAGAGCACTCGTTAGTATTTCTCAAAACATATTGATAATTCTGAATTTAAACGGGAGATAAATAAAATCTTATCATTTACTTTTTTTATAAGATTTGAATTGAGATTCTCATGAATGATTCTATCTTTACTAAACCTCGTTGAATAACGAACATGTTCAAAGTTGATTAAAACAGTTAGATTTAAATTTGGAACAGTTTTTTTGATTAATTGTAATGCTTAAAACTTACAAATTTAAATTTAAAAATGAAGTACTAGTACTACAGTGAAGAAAAGTCATTAATGGTGAACCTTAAATATGTGAACATGTTCAATGATAATTAAAACAGTCGCATTCAATAGTCAGATACTAATCATCATAGTACTACCAAATAATTAATGAATTAAGAATATAAATAAAAGTGATTAAAATCTTAATAACTTTACATTACACTATTTTTGCATATAGTATGAATGAAGATTTAATAAAAACTTACCATCTGTATAAGACAAAGCAGATTGGCACATTGAGAGGAACAGAACTGATAGCACTTTAAGCTTCTGCATTTTTCCAATGAATCTAGAGAGAGAAACAAGAGAGAGAGAGTGATATTTGAGTGAGTTGGATTTGAGAGATTCAAGGGAGGGATCACCTGGTTTTATTTGAATCATTACAACTAAATGCCACTGACTTTTGCATTAAATTACAACAATGCCACTTGTGAATGCATGTTCTTATTGTCAGTGTTCAAAAAATTACTTGTTCATTTGTGTTTTAGTATGACACTTCTCTTTCATCAGTAACGAGATTGACACCAAATATTTAATTAATGTTGAGAGATATTACTAAGTTATTCGACTAATATTTAAGTTAAAATATTTAATAAAAATAAATTTGTAATTTGTAATTTTTAATATCGAATATGTTTATTTTATTTATTCCAAATTAGTATAAGCTATAAATTATCCACTATAATCTTGAAATTTGTTCAAATCAAACATAGCCTAAATAATCAACTCTGTTGATATTAAATACATTGTCAAAGTTTGTTGTACCACAAAAAGAAACTTGACAAAGTAATTGGCATAGCAAAGTTCATTAAATATGTCCATGTCTTCCAACAATGAATGTCTTTCTTTCTAAATAGCTTTATTGAGTGTTACTAGGTTGAAGTCCTAGGATATTTGTAACTTGCAATGTTCAATTGTCCTATTAAACCTTTGAAACTAAACCAATTTCATATTTAAAAAAAAAAACTATTATATTTCCCGTTCTAAAACTCTAACTAATTTAGTTATAAAATTGTCATAAAATGACTAACTTTCTCAATTTTTATACAATATTAATTACTTATAAGTTACTTTACAAAAATAACATTCATATGAGAAAGATAAATTAGAATGATTGAAAAAAAAATAGTAATTGATATATTAAAAAAAATAATATTAGCATTTTATTAATATTATAAAATAATATATAAATTGAGACAAACAAACTTTATTATAATGCCATATAAATTAGCACAAAAGAAGTATTTAATTAATATTTCATCTCTCTATGTCTTTGAGATTCTCGTACTACCTCTAACTTTTAATATAAGAAAAAATTTAATTTTTAGATTAATTGAAGAATCAGTGTATTTCAACTACATATACTTCATATGCATTAATTCTTTGATGAATATAAAAAGTAAAATTTTGTATATATTAAAGATCAGATGAAATACTTTTTAAGATAACGATTAATTGTATTGATTTCAATGATAAAACGAGTTTTATTTACTAAGATAACCTTATTAATAAGTAGTGAAGTAACTAGATAAATTAAACTACAATAAATAAATATAATTTAATAGAAAAAATAATAAATATCATATTTGTATTATAAAGGAAATAATTTAAGACAAATAAAAATAGAAAATATGACATCTATAATGAGACAGATGTAATACAATTTGTCTCAATTCACTTTCTTTCACTTTACATTTATAATAAAGTTGAATGCATCAATATATAAAAAATATTTATTTTTAAAGGAATCAAAGTCTATCCGTCTTTGCAACACAATTTACAATATTATCATCGGTAAATTCCTTCAATCCCTTATCAACACCATACTTGGTCTCTACTAAAGTAATTTTATGTCACATAAGAATACTTATGATAATTCTATTATTCTACAGAAAATTGTTCAACATATGCGTAAGTTGAAAAAAAAGGGAAGTTGCTTTCAAAGTTAGATTTGGAAAATACTTTTGATAATCTCATCTAGGAGTTCTTCACAAGTTATCTGTCTGATTTTAGTCTTCTCCAAATCACCATCCAATTCATTATGAAGTGTGTTACTTTCTCATTTATGTCTTTTATGTGGAATTGAAATGAAATGTCATCCTTAAAGACATCTCATGACCTTCGTCAAGGGGTTCACATCTCTTTATCATCTGCATGAAGAAGTTCTTTGTTGCCATCACTAATATTGTAAGTACTGGTTCTTGGAATCCAATATGAATCTCTAACAACAAACCACACTTACCCTACCTTTTGTTTGTTGACAACATCCTCTTGTGTGCAAAAGTCTAGAAATCACAAGTCATAGATAATGTTAACCTTTATATATATATATATATATATATATATATATATATATATATATATATATATATATATATATATATATATATATATATATATATATATATATATATATATATATATATATATATATATATATATATATATATATATATATATATATATATATATATATATATATATATATATATATATATATATATATATATATATATATATATATATATATATATATATATATATATATATATATATATATATATATATATATATATATATATATATATATATATATATATATATATATATATATATATATATAGAAATTCAAATAAGAAGATAAACCTTGTCAAGTCTCGCACTTTTTTCTCCTCTGGTATTATGTTTCTTAAAAACGTGTGATATCACATACAAGTATACATGTTATTTTAAAGTAGCAAGTGATATAATAGTAAATATGTCGAACCTATAGGGAGTGGAAAATAACTTAGATTGAATTGAAAAATTATATATTTTTTGTAAATGAGCATGTGTAAGAGTAAAAATAATTGATGGTTGTCAAAGGTTTAATTTTTTAAGGAAAACAATGATAGGAATACTTTGGCAAGAGTAAATAAAATCAATAATGGAGAATATGATGGACAATGACCCCTTAATATGACTAGTCTATTGTGTGTATATGATGTGCTATGTTGTGTCAAAAGAGGTTAGAAAGTAAACTTATGGTGTATTTCTATATCATCATAAACATATACAATAAAGTAAGGGTACAGATCTCTAAGCCTTGCTGGTAACTTTAATCCATGTCTGGTTTTATTTCGTATGCCCTTTATGAGTGTAGCTCTTAATTCTAAAGTAGCTAATCTACTGAGTATCTCTATCCTACTATTTTAAATCATTTTTATCATGAAATCCACTTCTTGCTGGATGTATAATAACATAAGCTTGTATATTTTCTTAAGTTGATCATTCATAGAAGTAAATTTATGACAATTTAATGCATAATAAAATAAAGCACTAACAACACATCATTTAACACAAACAATTATTTCATATTAACTTCAAATTGCTCAGCATAAGAGCATCTTTAGTGCAGGTTTCTTAGTATTAAATTCTTTAATAGTAACGGTAGTTATAAGCAATTTGCATTGGAATAAGAATGACATGGCAAACTAACAATTAGTGGAAGTAAACTATATAACCAACGCACACTATCAAATTTCAATGACTCTGATTATTATTTTATTATTATTTTATATTATTAAAATATCAATAAAGCTCCAACAACTATAAAATGTGGGGTCAAGTTTTGGTTATTTACAAGCAACCATCATTAAAGTAAAAACAACTCAAATCAACTATAAACAACTCAAATCCTACAAATCACTTTGGGCCCACAAAAACTATCTTAGTTTACCCATTTAGTTTACTCCCACTAAAGATGCTCTAAAGGAGTTTCGCTCATAATGAGCTTAGTACACAAATTAACATTGGATCTTAAACTAAACATTCATAAACACACAGTGAAAAATAAATGAAAAAAGTAACTTCTTCCTCTTATTGCAATCGTCAATCAATAAGAGATGAGTTTTATCATGCCAAATACTAGTAGCATCACTTGATATGATGAGAATAATAAGTTCTCCACTTTGTTCAGCTCGCTTTATTCACCAAATTTCACTAAATCTTTCTTTCTCTGAGTTGATGAATCTATTTTAATTTCCTCCAATAGGCCCTTTTATAGTCATGTGCATCTAGGATTTTGTGGAGTCTTGGATCATGGGCCTTTGAATATTCAATACGCTTGGCCCATAAGGATCATTAAGTTTCCTCTAATTCTCCTTTTTCGTACCATTGTAGATTCAAGTGCAATCAACATGTGAGAGACAAAGTGTCTAATTCTCCCTCTATTATTTGAAACCACCCTTTATCTAATTCTACAAAAATCCTTCCACCATCTCAACACTTTCCTCTCCCATTTAAAACTCTACCATCATCCATCCTATATTTTACACCTAAAACTTTAATCTATAAACCATTTTTATCCATTAGCATCTTTCACTACCATTTCCCTAACAAATAATAATTAAAATCTATTATCCTTCGAACCTTCTAGCATCTATTATTCTGATTGATACACATTTTTTTTTCCATTTAATCCAATAATTTCCTATCAATCTCAATCCATCCCAAATAAAATATTTAAGTAAGCATTCAATAGAAGACATAATAAATGAATGAACCTTAAATAAGGAAATAAAAATAATTTGGTAACGCAGATAAAACAAATTTAAGCAACACAAGACGACCTATTATCGATAAAACTACTTCTCTTCTTACCTAACATCAATCCAAGATTTTTTATTCACATCACGATCTTTAAGCCAAGGCACTTGATCCTTTTTCCATTGGATACTACAATTCAATCTAGAGAGTAAATAAAATTGAGATGACACATACCGAATTTCTTGCCTCTTTGGTTCACTAGCCGTGTCCAACCCCTTATTATCAATGACCAACAATCTCTTCTTGGCCCCTTTGTATCCCTTCAGTATTTCTCTCATGGTTTAGATGTCACTCCTTAAGAATTACTTTTGACAATTTGATTTTCTCCTTCAAATCGAACCTAATTCATCCAGATACATTGAACGACCTCCATTTCTAAATGAAAAACTCTTTATAACTCTGCATATATGAACAATAATTCAACATGAGAATATTTTTAAGAGAGAAATTCAACTCATCCATTAATAAACAAATATGAAAATGATCCAACAAACCCCAAATCGATGCATATTCAATGTTGTTTGCCCACAACACACACCACTTATTTTAATATCCTTGATTCTTCCCAAACCATCTTTACCTTTTCTCTCTGCGTCCATACAAACTAAGTTAAAATTTTCATGCACACCATATGCTAATCTGATTATAAATAAAAGATTTAACTTATTATTGAGAAATATCAGGTCCAC